TGGCTGCTCGCCCGTGCTCCACCACCCTTCCCACTCTCCTGCCAGACTCTGGTGCAGCTCGTAGAGGCCAGATTGAGTCGCGAGTTCAGTCCCAGAGTTTACGCTCACCGCCAGGATCGTGCTGCTGCATGTCTTCCTCCCGAAGAACCCGCGCCTATCATCAAGCTGTACAACGCCATCCTGGCTCACATTGCTAACACAGTGTCGTCGCAGGAGCTCAGCAGACTCTCGTGGCCACCAAACGAGTTCTGCCTTTCTGATAACCGTGAGTTTGTCCCTCATCTGGGCTGGAACTCTGTCCAGCACCTGGCCTGGCTACGCGAAGCCATCCTCAGCCTGCAGCTGCCACAGTGGGAGCAGCTGTCAGTCACAGGTCAGTGCAGAGTCATTAATGGTTCCCTGACTGTATAAAATCCACTTGAGTACAAATCAACCACAAAGATGTGAACAAGAGACCAATAATAATATATTATACTTCCCTCTCCCTCTAGACTCGTGGTCTGAGCTCTGCTCCTCCATCTTTCGCTACGCCGCTCAGATCCCGGTTTCACGCCGCAGTCAGCCTCTCCTAATGTCGCGGCTGGAAAACCTTCTGGAAAGGGTCCACCTAAAGGTTCGCCATTCCCGAATCCCCAGATCCAAGGTAACTACGAGCAACTGGGACGAGGTAGACGAGAGTTTGTGTCCAGCCTTCTGTCAGATTCCTTGGGACGACGTGCTGGTGATTTGCATCGACCACAAGCTGAAAGACTGGCAGATCCCCGGAGCACCTGTCTGTGCAGGTGAGGACATTCTCAGGGAAGGTTATTTTACCGTGATTTAGAGCGTGATTAAGAACCGATGTGCGTTTTCTGTGTGAATCTACTGGTAATGTATGACTTGCATTCCAAAGTGTAACTATTTGTTTTGTTGTTTAAGACGCTGTGACGGAGGACGGGGAGATCCTGGTTTACTTCCCCAGGGAGTCGTTGAAGGATTTCCAGCCACCTGAGGAATGGACCCAGGCTATCAAGCAAACCCACAGGGAGAAGCAGCAAGAGAAGGAAGGGTAGGAAGTGCCAAAAATCACTAAAAGATCATTTGGACTTTTAATTTAACTTTAAAACAGCTGGATGCAACTTGTCACCTCAAGGCAGACACATACTAATAAATGTACACTGTTCTTATTTATTTCAAAAGTGGACGTTTAAACCAACTTTCACTTCCGTTCCCTGTCACTGGAGTTTAAAATGGGACGTTACTAAAGATGCTCATAGTTTTCAAAGAACATATAAGCAAGTACAAGTCACATCAACGCCACATTGCAGTTACATAATCACAATACATTCTTCCAATTTCTCTCCCTGTCTCTATCTCCCATCCTCAGGGCGAGTGCAGCTGCTTGTGCCACACCCACCAGTCTGTCCCTCAGACAGAGGTTGTTCCACAGCCTGATGGAACCTCTCGAGGTCCCGACATCCTCGCTGGACATCACGCACACTCCCACAACACAAGAGCTTCTGGCCCACAAAGTCCTCCAGAGCTTAGAGGAGGAGAAGGCTGAAAGCAAAAGGTACAGCTACAACAAGAGTTTTGGTTTGTGCCGTTTTGAAAGAGGTATATGAATAAAAAAGTAATAACCTTATTAAAAACCAATAAAATGTTCTAGTCTTTGGTTGCAGTGTCTTGGGACTCTGTTGTAATTAGTGTTTGCCAAAAATAAAGTTCATAATAAATATGTGTGTGTGTGGTGTCTACAGGACCATGGAGCAGCTTCAGCGCTGGCTGGATGGGGACCCCGTGGAGCACTTGTCCACACCGCTTTTCGTTCCATCCTCCACTCTGTTGTCCATGCCCACAACAATAACGCATGCACCCGCTGCCAAGACTCGGGACGCCGCTCTCACACAGGTATGACGTATCTCCTCACCTCACTCAGTGATCCTTGGAGAGGTTACATCCTTTTTCAAACAGCCATTCTGGGTGACAGAAATAGTGAAAGTGGGGGCACTGTAGTAGCTCACCTGGTAGAGCGCATGTCATCCCCTCTCTCTCTCCCCCTTTGCTGTATATCTTCAGCTGACTACAGAAATGAAGACATAAAAAGTACCAAGAAGGTTTGGTCTAACCTACTGAGCTTTACACTTGAAGCTAATTGGCCTTGCATATTCTGCTTTTAAGATGAAGGTATTAGCAATTGCAGTAAACTTTCTCTTCAAGCTACACAATAGATTACACTTTCGTTGTAATGCATTTTCATTGTTTTGACTTTCCAGGAGTCGGAGCCTGATGATCTTTCAGACAGAGCAAACTGGACTAAAACCACACCGGTATCTATGGCATGGCGACTCAAGGAACTGGAGCGACAGATTTTGGCGAGCCAAGAGGAAGAACTGGCCTGCAGACTGAAGCTGAGCGGTCTGCTAAGCATTGTTGATGACTGATGAACTGATGGAGTTCAATATTGTAACCAATGACTACGTATACCGTTTTGCAATTTCTTTTGAAAACTGAGAACAATCTGTGACTCTGTTCAAGTCAGATTCACTGATTGCAACAGTGTGTGTCTTTATTTTGTGTGTGTGTATTGAAGTCTGGCTTTGTACAATAGGAAATGAAAATCAAGATTTTATCAATTATTTCGTAACAGATTTTTGCATTTACGACTTGAAAAGGTGTGTGTGCGTGTGTCTATACAATGTCTTAAAATTTTTGGTTGGTTTTTGCTCAAATGTGATAAGATGCGGATGCTCAAAGTGTGTTTGAATCTCTAGAGAAGCTGCTTCTGTCTTCAGTGTTTGAACCTATTTTTTTATGTTATGAAATCCTGCAACTGCTAAAATTGAATAAAAGTGTTATTTTTTATGTACACCTCCCATTTAGCTTCAGTTTTCATTCAGTAGTTCAACAGGCTCCAACATTTGGTCGTCATTATCCAAGTGTGAGCACCGTGTAGTGTTTGAACTCACTGCATACCCGTCTCTTCCTCTGTGTAGCTGCTTTGATTAGTCTCTGCTCATGTCTCTCTCTTATTTGAGATCTAAACTTAGAAGACCTGAACATAAGCTATATTCAGAGCTTTCACTCTTTGCAAAACAGCCTCATCCTGTGTTAGAAAAGCACACAGTTTAAACTACAAAAAAGTTCTTATCTATTTTAAAATATTCAAAAGAAGGAAACCATTAAACACATTAGTCCAAAAGCTGATGGCACACAAATGTTTTGTACATTGCAGGTTAGCAATGAACTCACCAACAGGCACTCAGGTCAAATAAAGGTCAGATAAATTGAAAAATATATTAAGTATCCCTGCGTATCCCTGGCGGGTGATTCATTCAATAATAATAAGAAGTGAAGTTTCATTGGAATTTCTCTAAAAGTTGGACTTTGAATCACTCCCCTGACCTTGTGGCTGTTCCTGTTGTTGGAACGGTTGGAAATGAACTGTATGAACACATCCAGGGCGACAAAAGCTTCATTAAATGTATCAGCATTGGACCGGTAGTACACACAGATACTAAAAACACAGATATCACAAATAAAGGACGACAGATTCGAGTGTGGGATATGTTTAACAAATGATCATCACCCTATTTAAACTGACCGTGTAAAAGAAATAAGAAATGAAAATGTAGGTGAGACTTTGTTCGCTGCTCTTTTTATATGTTGAGTAAGTTTTACAGATACAGTAGGTTTAGCTTTTCTGCTAAAGTTGGGCATTTTAACACGTGTCCTTCTGGAGATTGACTCGCTTTTGGGGTCATCCTGAAGTTATTGATAAGAAAACATACTGTCCATACTCATTTAATGCACTTCACTGCAGGATATGTTCAGTGTCAAACATTATGGACTGTGTTATTACACAAAACAGTGGGGATAGACATAATAATAATTATTAAGTCTCTGGCTATCAGCAGATCGATTTTAATTTAAAATGAACAATAATTTCACAAGAACAGCATCATGTAAGTTGGTGTGTGACTCTGCAGGAGCTCAGTTCACTCCCAGTGTTACTCAACCTGCTAATATGAAAAAGGGGAACAAGGTCCCAAATATTTACGTGACATTTCTGCCTCCTTTCAACATTCAAAGGGTGGGAAACTTTTCCTTTTGC